GCTCCTGCCTCACCCTCTGCATCGTAAAAACTGCTTATAGCAGGAATTTAGGGACCTGATTAGCATTAACAGTGATTTTAACAGACTTTAAAAGTGTATTAAAGGTGTGTAACACTGCCCGGGGCCCCATGGGGAAGTGGGTCTCCGTCATCTGTTGAACCTAATACCTCTTGTACTGGGGTTCTACAGTATTTGGACCTCTATGGCTGGCCTCTTCCAGTTAGCATAGTGTTCTCAAGGTTCAGTGTGCATTTTAGCATGTGTCAGTATTTCCTTCTCACTGTGTGTATGAAGCATACCTCGAGTATCCATTCACCAGTCAGCGACACTTGAGCATCATCCACATGTTGAATAATGCTGCAGTGAACACGGGTGTGCAAATACCTCTAGAGAGGACAGCCAGACAGTGCTGAAGAGCTAAGGAGGAAGTTCTGGGGAGAGGGAAGAGTGGAGCAAGAGTGAGACTCAAGCTAAGGAGAGGGAAAGGGGGAGCCCAGAGCACAGACAGGGGTTTGGTTTGACTTGTCAAGACAGATGAAGAACAGGCCAGGGCAGCTCCTGACTAATGATCTTGATGTTCTAGGAGAACATCCAGCAGGGTGACGCTGGGATATAAAGCTCTAGACTGTGAGCACCAGAAACAGTTAGCTATGGAGGCACAGAAAGTGGAATTAACCAGGAGAGAGAGGCGAAAACAATGATCAGGATGGAGCCAGGCTGCAGTTTATGCTCCTCTGGGCAACACGTTGCAGCCTGGGGTGGGGTTCAGAATGGAGTAGGTAGCATGACAGGTCAGGGTGGGGATAGAGGAATGGCCAGAAAATAGAGTTTTCTACTCTGATGTTGGAGCTTGGCCCATGCAGGATACCTACAAGTGGCCTGCGGAGTCCTTTCCTCAGGACTTTAGCACTGTGGTGGCCACATTGCTCAGCCAGGCCCCTCCTTGAACTCACAGAATGAATGGCAGCCCTCTGCTGACCAGCTCCCAGAACAGGAATCCATTTTGTTGTCATTATTATTATTTCAGTTTTTGGAGACAAGGTCTTGCTATATAGCCCAGCCTTGCCTGGAACGGCCTATCCTTCTGTCTTGGCCTCGTAACTGTGGGGATTACAAATGTATGCTACCATACCTGGATTTTTGCATTCATTTTTAATTTCCAGAGTTAAACCACAGTTATATTTCATAATTGAAGCCCTTAGGGTTCTGGTCAACTGTCAATACAGAAAAAAATGAAAATCACAATGCTCCCCTAATTGCTTTCTGCATGTTTTCTTTTTTTAAACTTTATGAGATCTGGGGCTTAAGTCATCAGGCCTTACCAGCCTAGAAGTGGTACACTTCCCAGGTCTTTAGAACCAGTCCTTAGTTGCCAGGACTTTAGGAGGGCAACAACATTAAATACAGAAAGCCAGTGTTACTTCCATTCACTGCTATTTATTCAGAACCAGTTTGTTCCCAGTTGAGTTGCAAATACCAATTTCTTGTTTTATTGCGCCATCTGCTGGCATACACATTTGACACCTATGCAAAAGTAATCTTTGATCTGTTTTCCAGATTGTGCCTTCTAGTGCTTAAAAAGTGAAAGTTCAGGGCAGGCGTGGGGGCATAGCCTGTAATCTCAACATTTGGGAAGCAGAAGCAGGAGGATCTTACAAGTCCAAGGCCAGCCTGGTCTACATAGTGAGTTCTGAGCCAGGTAGTGCTACATAGTGAGATCCTGTCTCAAAAAAAAAAAAAAGAAAGAAAGAAAAAGAAAACTGAAAGCCATTATGAAATGAATTTGTTCCTCAAACTGCTGTTCAAGTGTCTTGACTTTTTCTCATCAAGTTTCTAAGTGTGGATGGGAGGAAGACTCATTTGCCTCCCCCCTCATAAGCCCAGGCTCCAGCCTCAGCCTCTGAAACGCTGCTATTACCGGTGTGCATCAGCACACCCAGCACTACTAACACTTTTAAAAAGAAGACTCCTTGCCCCCTTCCCAAAATTACTGAATCAGGAATGTGTGGAAGTTTTACACTCAGGCTAATTACCGGAAACACTGGAATCTAGCCTATCCCCTACACCCAATAGGCAACTGTGGGGCTGGGGAACCATCAATCCCTTCACCCTAGCAAGTATACACCCTGAATTATAAAGATGGTATGTTTGCTCTGTAAACGGAACTTTAGGGCGAGCCTTAGAAGAGATCAAGAAGGGCAAGATATAGAGGCACCCCTGTTCTGAAAGTCCCAAACCTGAAGTGTTCCAAAATCCAAAACTCTTGACCTCTGACTTGGTAACACAGGTGGGGAATTCCACAGATGATCTCACAAGATGGGCAGGTGCACTGAAAATCTGACATAAAATGTGTCTCAGGTGGGCTCAAAGGCCAATGAATTTTGTGTTTTGACTTGGTTCCCAACACCAAGAGATCTCATTCTGTAGTCCACATATTCCATTGGCAAAAATAATTCGGAACAGGTCCCAAACATGCTGGAAAAGGGAAGTTACCCAATATAACTAGTCGGGGTTCTTGTCTGGCTTCCCAGGATGTCAGGTTCCTGGTTCGTCTTCATATTCCAAAATTGTGTTTTTTCAACTGTGTGTGGGGCTCTGCTCCATTTTACAATGTTCCCACTGGTTTTATGTGGAGTTGGCTTGATTCTGTGAGGAACTGAACTCTCAGCAAGAGCACATAGCTCAAGGTGGGCCTGGACCAGCAGTCACCAGGAACTGCTTAAAACAGAGGGTCCTATCTGATGAGCCCGATCAATTGCAATTGATAGGGCTCAAGCGGCTCACTGTCCTGCAGGAGATACTGTAGCAGGTGGGGATCCTGTCTCACGTTGGCCTCGTGTACCTGACACTCATTCTGGATTTAGAAAGCTGTTACCTTACCTCTCTGGCTTTAATTCAAATCTCAGGGTTCAAAGGGATAGAACAGCTTGTGATTTAAGGCCTAGTCCAAGCACCTGTCCAGTTTTCTCACTGCCGGACGCTGGAAGCCAACTTCGTCTCCAGGTCTAGTGAGAAGACACACCTGGAGCAGGGGGCGGGGCATGGGCGGGGTCTTGAAGACCCACCCCCCCACC